ACCCCTCGTATCCACTGCTCTTCTTCCACAAAATGAAGAAGTGTGAGCATCAGATCAAAGGAGGTGATACTGTCCCTCTATTGAGACCCCACTTGCAGCACTGTGTGCAGTTCTGGTGTCCTCAACATAAAAAGGACATGGAGCTGTTGGAGCAAGTCCAGAGGAGGCCACGAGGATGAGCAGGGGCTGGAGCAGCTCCTGTATGGAGCCAGGCTGAGAACATTGGGGCTGTTGAGCCTGGAGAAGAGAAGCTGCGTGGAGACCTCAGAGCAGTTTCCAGTGTGTGGAGGGGGCTGCAAGGATGTTGGAGAGGGACTCTTCATCAGGGGCTGCAGTGATAGGACAAGGGGTGATGGGTTCAAACTGAAACAGGGGAAGGTCAGGTTGGAGATAAGGCAGAAGCTCTTCCCTGTGAGCGTGCTGATGCGATGGCAGAGAAGCTGTGGCTGCCCCATCCCTGGCAGTGTTCAAGGCCAGGTTGGACACAGGGGCTTGGAGCAAGCTGCTCTAGTGGAAGGTGTCCCTGCCCATGGCAGGGGTTGGAGCTGGATGAGCTTTAAGCTCCCTTCATGCCAGACCATTCCATGATTTTATGATTCTATGAAAATAAGGACCAGCAAGGCACAGCTACCTATTTTATAGCTCTCCATACACAGATGTGGGGCATGCACAGGGAACTGTGCAGCATTGTGCTTGGACAGGGACATGTTCCCATTGAGACAAACCTGAGGTGGGAGCCCAAAGCCTCCTCAAAGCTGTATTTGCTGCCCAGGGAAGGAAATGGCACATTTCCCATAGATGCACATGAGCACCGGAACCAGTCAGGTCTGAGACAACTTCAGGAGCTGGTGCTGGCTGGTGTTCCACTGCTTAAAATACACATCAGGTTATTTATAGTCAAGGCAGAGCTGATAATGAAGATGTTTATTAAGCATATGGCAGCACTTAATACAGCAAAACCTCATCTACTGCAGCAAGCTCTTAATGTAGAGCCTCTTCCCTCCCCTTCCTCCAGCACCCGCTTTGCAGTGGCCAACAGCAGAAGGAATTTGATGCACCCCAGAACCCCCCCCCCCACCGTGTGCTGGGCTGCACCCCCAGAGTATGAGCAGCAGCTCAGGGAGGGGATCCTGCCCCTCTGCTGCGCTCTGGGGAGACCCCCCCTGCAGCCCTGATCCAGCTCTGGGGCAGCAGCACAAGAGGGACGTGGAGCTGTTGGAGTGAGGCCAGAGGAGGCCATGGAGATGCTGCGAGGGCTGGAGCAGCTCTGCTCTGGAGCCAGGCTGAGAGAGCTGGGCTGGGTGAGCCTGGAGAAGAGAAGGCTCCTGAAGGGGAGACCTGAGAGCAGCTCCAGTGCCTGAAGGGGCTGCAGGAAAGCTGGAGAGGGGCTTGGGACAAGGGCCTGTAGGGCCAGGCCAAGGGGAATGGCTTTAACCTGTCCGAGGGGAGACTGAGCTGAGCTCTCAGGCAGAAGCTCTTCCCTGGGAGGGTGCTGAGGCGCTGGCACAGGGTGCCCAGAGAAGCTGTGGCTGCCCCATCCCTGGCAGTGTTCAAGGCCAGGTTGGACACAGGAGCTTGGAGCAAGCTGCTCTATGGAAGGGGTCCCTGCCCGTGGCAGGGGTTGGAACTGAAGGAGCTTTAAGCTCCCTTCAACCCAAATCAGGCTGGGATTCCACAGTCTGTGAATTAAATTCCCCCAGCTGCACACAGATTGATTACACAGGAGTTAAGCTGCAAGTACCCATCAGTCAGGGCACACTCACACAGCTCTGTGCATCCCTCCACACTGCTTATCAAGCTACAAAACATCCTAAACAGTTCAGAGACACACATTTGGCAGTCAGGGGCCAGGGCAGAGAGTCTGCTCTGCAATGAAGTAATATTAAAGTCCCCTTAGGAAGGGATTTGGGCTGAAATTTGGGTTACTCACTGGTATTGGGCCTCCCCTCTGCAGGTAGATGCATGCTACAGTTTGGTACAAATTGTTCTTGAAGCTTTTCTGCCACGTTGTCGTGAGCTCTGCCACAGGACCTGCATAATTTGTCTCCTTGGCAGCAAAAGGACACACTGCAGAGGGAAAGAAAGAGATGCTCTGTTTCAAACAGCAGCACATTTTCATGGGGTGGAAAACCTACAGCTCTGCACTAATGGGTTCTGCTTGGCTGCAGCCCTCGGTCGCTTGCAGGGAAGACATTGAGCTTAGGACAAGGAGGAGAGGAGGGAAACAGCAGTGACAGCAATAAAAGAGCAGAAATAAACCCACCAGGGAACAAAGATTGAGGCAGTCAAGTGCTTGTGAGGGACAGGGTGGAATGGAGGTGCTGGGCATTGCAAACCAAAGCAGGAAAGCATTGCAGCATCACTCTGCTTTCCTCTGGAGGAGACAATGGTGCTAAGGGTGGGATCTGGGGCTTGGTTTATTTATTTTGTGTAAACTGTTTTTTTGGGGGGAGTTAGATGGGATAAATTTGGGGCTCACTGGGGGGAAATGGTGAGCTGCAAACTTAGGAGGTTATTTCCAGCTGGTAAAGCTGTGCAAGTGGGAGAAGGCAGAGGATGCGATGGGAACAGGCTCAGCTCCTCACCTGGGGGAGCCAAATCATGGATTTCCCAGTGTTTTCTTAGAACTATGGAATCCCAGCCTGGTTTGGGGTGAAGGGACCTTAAAGCTCCTGCAGTCCCAAACCCCTGCCACAGGCAGGGACCCCTTCCACTGGAGCAGCTTGCTCCAAGCCCCTGTGTCCAACCTGGCCTTGAGCACTGCCAGGGATGGGGCAGCCACAGCTTCTCTGGGCAGCTCCCACAGGAACTGGGTGCTGCTCAGCAAGAGATGGATGTGAAACTTCCACCTTGGTTTTCTTCCAGCTGGGCTCTGTCCTTGTCTCACCCGGGCAGCTGGAACAGGACGGAGCTGTCACCGAGCAGTGGCTCAGCGCGTGGTGGAGAACTTTGGTTGGAGCCAAAGCTTTGGGTTTTGTGTAGGAAACCAAGGGTTTTGGAAAGTCTTCCCACGTCTCACGTGATGCAGGAAACCAACATCCCCTGCAGGGTCTCCCCTGTGTCCATTTGCTGTGGAGGCAGATGGGTGAAGCCCTGGGGGTTCACCTGCTTGAGTCTGGGGTGAGCTGCAGGTGAGGACACGCCATCAGTTGCTCTTTCTCTTACTAATACACATTTGCAGGTGGGACAGCTTGGTACTTGGATTGCAGGGGTGATGCACCACCAATGTGGGCTGTTAAAGAGACCTCAAATCGTGCTGGAGGTCTCCCTTACTGTACAACACTGGGCATCACAGAATGGTTTGTGTTGGAAAGGACCTGAAGATCATCCAGTTCCAATCGCCTGCCATGGGCAGGGATGTGGTGTATTTGACATGGTTTTCACAACAACCTCTTCCTATCAGTATGTCAAGCAGTGAGAAATGGAGTAGCTCTGGTACAGCCTTTGCTACCCCAGGGACCCTCCTGTCCCAACTCCCTGATTCCCCGGGGGGGGGTCCCATTGCTTGGGAAACAAGAGTGAATCTTGATGAAAAGCAAACGGCTTCAAAGAGCACCGAGTGTTGCGAGGGAGTGAGGAGGGGACATGGGATAGAATCAATGAGGTTGGGAAAGCTCTTTAAGCTCATCCAGTCCAACCTTCACCCCAGCACTGCCAAGGCCACCACTGCCCCATGGCACTGAGGCCTCGTCTCCATGGGGTGTGAACACTTGCAGGGATGGTGACTGCAGCCCTGCCCTGGGCAGCCTGTTCCAATGCCTGAGCACCCTCTGGGGCAGGAATTGTTCCTCAGCTCCATCTAAACCTGCCCTGGTGCAGCTTGAGGCCGGTTCCTCTTGTCCCATCCCTTGTTCCTTGGGAGCAGAGCCCAGCCCCTCCTGGCTCCATCCTCCTCTCAGGCACTTGTAGGCAGCCATCAGGTCCCCCCTGAGCCTTCTCTTCTCCACACTGAACCCCCCAGGTCCCTCAGCCCTTCCCCATCACACTTGGGCTCCAGGCCCTGCACCAGCTCCGCTGCCCTTCTCTGCCCCCCCTCCAGCCCCTCAATGTCTCTCTTGCAGTGAGTGCCATGGGCTCTGTGGTGCTGTGCCCGATGGGGTCAGTCCCTGGGTGAACCCCATTGCAATTCTTCCTCCCAGACCCCAGCACTTCCCAGAAACACTCATTTCTCACCCCAAACCGGGGTACTGAGCGCTGCTGACGCGGTTTGCACCCCCCTTGGAGCTGTGTGCACCCACAGGCGCTGCTCACCCCCCCGGGAAGCTCCATTTGGGTTCATCACTCCTGTGAGAGAAGTTCCTGCATTAAAACGTAAACCCCTCGTTTGTGCTCCCAGAGAAGGGCCTTTTCCCGCCCCCCCCCCCCCCCATGGGGGCCAGCACCCCCTTCCCCAAGCACTGAGGGGGTTGTTCCACCCCCCCCCCAACGTTGGACGAGGGCTTTTGGCAGGGAAATGGGGGTTGTTTTGGGGGCGAGGGCCGGTTTGGGGTGCGGGGGGAGGAACGGGGCCTGGCCGCGCTGTGAAGAGGAGGCCGGGCTGCGGGGGGAGGGGGGGGAAGGCCTGGCCTCGAGGCCGCGCATCCCGCCGCGGGCACGGCTGCTGCTGGAGCTCACCCGGCGGCCCCAGGGCAATGTCCGGAAGCCGGGGCCAGGCCGCGGGGACCACCGGAGCCGCGCTCGGTTCGTCCCGGTGGGGATCGAGGCCGCGGCCTCCGCGCTCCCCTCAGCCCGCGCGGACTACAACTCCCATCATGCCCCCGCGCGGACTACAGCTCCCAGCATGCTCCACTCTGCCCCTCCGCACTACACCTCCCATCGTACCCCGCGGCCACACGGGCCCCGTCTCCCTCCCCGCCCGCTGCTAGAACTACATTACCCAGCGTGCCCAGCGGAGGGCGGCCAGCGCCGAGCGGCGGCGGCTGCGCGCGGGGCATGCCGGGAGCTGTAGTTCTGGCGGCGGCTGTAACGGTCCCGCTGGTGGTACACCCCCCCCCCCCCCCCCGCCCCTTCCCTCAGCGGCTGCGGGCAGAGGCAGAGGCAGGAGCCGCGGAGCGGGCGGAGGGCGAGCGGGAGCGCTGCCGCCGCACCGGCTGAGGGGACACCGCCGCCAGAACAGCCGCAGGTGAGGGGGGGGGACACGGCGGCGGGACAACGGCACCCCCGGAGGGCGCTGAGGGGGGGCTGCGGGTGACAGCCGGGGGGTGGGGGGGGGGGACACACGGACCCTCTCCCCTCGCCGGGGGCACGGGGCCTGGGCTGCGATGGCGGCGGTGGAGGGGGAGCATCCTGTCAGCGCTGTGGGGGAGACCGCCGCCCTGAGGGGGCAGAGCCGGCCCCGCTGCTTGTGCCCCCCCCCCAAGAGCCTGTTTTCCCCCCCCCTCAGCATTAGTGCCGGGATTTGGCCTCGCTGTGATGGGCACTGGGGCTCGGTTCACCTCAGCCCCCTCTTTGCGAGGCGCTTGGCGCCGGTGGGGGGGGGAGCCCGCTGAAGACCCCCCCCCCGATGGTGGCCAAGGCAAGTTCTGGTGGTGTGGAAGAAGGGAAATGGAGCGACCGCGCTTTCCCCTCCTGCTCTGAGCCCTCGGGAGACGTCGGTGTGGGGATGGGGGCACCCCAAGATGGGGGGGGGGGGGGTGGCACCGCTTCACCCCAGCCCCACTGCGAGCAGCGAGAGGGGCACGTGGGGATGATGATGATGATGATGATGATGGTGATGAGAGCGACAGAAGGGAATATTGAGGAGCCCGACAGCAACTTCATGGGATGGGAAAGGCCGAGTTGCGGCCGCGTCCGTCCTCCCGCTCCCTTTGGAGCGGGTTTAAAATGGCCCAGGTTTTGCTGAGCGAGAAGAGGGGGGGACGTCGGGGTGCAACAGCGGCAGCCTGAAAGCAGAGAGCGCAAGGTGCTGAGACGGGAGGCGGCGTTGTCCTCCCTGCCGCTGTGAAACAGTGGGTGCTGTGCCTTTGCATCAAGGGCTGCTTGTTTTCTTCCCTTTTCCTTCCCCAAGAATTGCTTTGAATACTTTGGCGTGGGGGTTTTCAGGGCAGCGAAGTCCGTTGCTGTACAGCGGGTTAATAATACCCCCAAAAGATGCCTTTATGGAAAGCTGAGGAGCCCTCAAGTAATGGAAATGGAACAAATACTCATTCTCAAGAACAGGGTTTGTGCTGTGTTGGGCTTGGGGGGGGCGGATTTCCCCCCCTCCCTGCACGTCGTGATAAGCTCTCAGGTTATGGCTTGGCTTTCCATAGCTGGAATTTCATTCAAAAGGCGTTTGTTTGGTGCTGAATTCTGTCAAATGCAGAGAAACGAGCAGGTTGAAGGAGGCTTTTTTTTTCCCCCTTTCTGGACAAAGGCATGTTGTGCTAAGCACAGAGAAACCCCCAGTGCTTCTGTCCCTCTTTTAATCCAGATATGATTGAAGATGCAGGGCTGTGTTTGTTCTTGCTGTTAAAATCGGGATGGGAGGAAGCGAGAGCTTTATTTTCCCTAAGGAATGGGAATGATGGAAACATCTTTAGGGAAACGTTTCGCTGGACTTGGTTGCATCGACTGCGTTATTTCATGGAATGTGGACTGTGAAGTGGTTCTGGAGGAGAACTCCAACTGAGGAGTGATATGGAGCAATGTCAAGGAAAGGGGAATTAGCACTTGGCAGCCAAATGCTTTATTTTATGATGGCTTTTTTAATCCTTTCTGCTTGCCAGTTTGGGTTTTTAACTGTTTCATGGCTTCTTCTGACCTTTTTGGTTGGGTACATTAAAAAACCCACCCCAAACAACACCTATGGTCTGATTATTTCTTCTTTCTACATGCGTGTAGTCATTAGAAGGACTGGTATCACTTAGCAGTGTATTTTTTTTGGTTGAAATCTATGTTTTTTTTGTTGAAATCTCTATTAAATCTGATTAACTTTTGCGCTGGAAGTTGCAAATATGAACTTAGCTACTTATGCGTCTCAACTTCTAGATTATTTTAGTCTTACTAAAGGAAATGTTCCCATTTATCAGAAGGAATCTCTCCCACCTGATGTGCTTACAGTGGCCTTTGGCTTTAGAGAATGTGTGCTGAGTGTTTCAGATGTTACTGGTCAGATTTATGGGGGTGTTTTCGTACTCTTTAGTTGATTAAAATCCCTGGCTGTTAGGGAGGACACTTTTGGAGAGGTACATATATAACCCTTTCCCTTTGGAACAAAGGGATCAGAAGCAACCTGATTCCATGCTATGAAGGTGGTTTGAATTTATTGTAATGGGAGTGAGGAACCAAAATGAAGCACCCCCACGGTGTCCAAATGAATGTGAAATAATTATGGGATACGGTCCTTTAGGGAGATCATCTTGGAGAGATCTTCTGTGATCTTGGGTGATACTCATCTGTCAAGTTCAATGCTAGGTCTGCATTGCAGTAGGTGAGCTGTTAAGGATGTTTAAAAGCTTGGCAGTGAAGTTTTCGTGCTCTCCTATGGATATGGGGTCCCCTATGGAACCCACCACATGGATAATGGGGAGGAACAGGAAAGAAAGGTGGCGCTGCTCTTGCTGTTCCTGAAAGCATTTCCCAGACATGTGAAAATGCTTTGGAGAAGCATTTCTGCATAATTATAATGAAATTTGGTCTAAATTTCATTAGGTGATCTGTCCAGAAGAGCTTCTGAACCTCACTTTCGGAGGGTAGGTGCAAATGCAGCCACTTCAGTGAGGGAAGTGGGTGTTTGATCCAGGAGAGCATCTGCTTTTGGGAAGCTTGCAAAGGCAACCGCGGTCAGACCGGCACAGATCTCCTTTTCTGGGAAGTGGGACATTCACAGCTGGGATGGAGTTCCTGGATCACCGAGGCCTGCCCACCATAAATGCCAGCAACTGTGGCATAAACAGGATTCAGTCCTGGTTTAAATCCAGGTGGGTTTCTGCTGCTGCCTGTGGCACAGGAACAGTTCAGTCCTTTCTCCCCCGGTAGTTGGAAACCTCCTGTTTCCACCCAGAGCTCTCAGCTGATTTGCAGCTCTCAGGTGGTTGATAGCAGTTGATGAGGCTGTCAGAAGGGAAACACAACTTTTATATCTTCCTTTCTGAGCTCACTCTTCCCTTCAGTCTGGGTTATGATCTCCATTTGTCTTCCACTGATGCCTTTTGGGCTCGATTGTATCTGCAGAGGCCCCAGTTTCCCCTTCCGCAGCACAAGTGCTCCATGTACTTTCTGTTTCCTCTGCAATTCATAAACTCTCCTTAAACCACCACGTTTTAACTGCGTTTCAGCCCTGAGTGAGCTCCCTTTGTGCTGGCTGGACGGTGCTCTGCTTGCTTGGCTTCTCCTCAGGTGTCTGTGGAGGGTTGAACACCGTCTCCCCACGCTGTGGAGATGCTGGGTGACCCTTGTCAAGAGGTGACAGACATGCAAAGTGCTGCCAACCTCTTCCTCCCAGTGCTGGGCTGAATCAGAAGTATTTGAAGCATCCCCATGAGAACTGTGTTCTTAGCCAGTGTGCTCAGGGAGGAGGGACACTTGCCTCACTCTCAAAGTGCAAGTGAGGTCATTTTTGTACAGCACCAGCTCTGATTTATTTGCTGGTGGGATTGTGTGAGGTCTGAGAAGAAGTTGGGTGAGCAGTGGAGGTTCATAACCAAGCATGGTCTTGTTTGTTAATGTACTGTGATCTTTCTAATTAACTAGACTCAATTTTGTTGCTTAAAATCTCCAAGTCACCATGGTCGGCTTCAGTATATGAGGGGTGGGCTTCAAGGATGCTGGAGAGGGACCTTTTCATCAGGAATAGGGCAAGGGATGATGGGTTCAAACTGAAACAAGGGAAGTTCAGGTTGGAGATAAGGAAGAAGTTGTTCCCTGTGAGGGTGCTGAGGCGCTGGCACAGGGTGCCCAGAGAAGCTGTGGCTGCCCCATCCGTGGCAGTGTTCAAGGCCAGGTTGGACACAGGGGCTTGGAGCAAGCTGCTCCAGTGGAAGGGGTCCCTGCCCGTGGCAGGGGTTGGGACTGGAGGAGCTTTAAGGTCCCTTCCAACCCAAACCAGTCTGGGATTCTATGTTCAGTCTATAGAAATAGTGGATGCAAAATGAGTGAATGAGAAAAGTGTTCTTGTTGTTTTCTAAAGTATTTCCCAAGCGGTGTAAACAGCATTTTATTGCTGATTTCAAAGTCAAGTTGATCAGTCCCATCTGACATTGCTGGATTCTTGTGTGCTCTCATGCGTCTCTTCAATAAACAGATGAAGATTTTTGCTTTGGTGACAATAAATAAAGTCCACCTCTCCATGTTTTGCCTTTTGACAGTCTTTTAACTCTTTGAATTAAAAAATATTGCCTCTTAATCTGTCACTTTTTAGAACTAGGAATAAATTTTCAAGAGTTATTTCCACATGCCTCTACTACCTGCCATTCACACGGATGCCGCTCTGCAGAGGCATCAAATGATGTTACCTTTTTGTTCCTTCCCCTCCACTAAGTCATAACGTTCCTATTTTGGGGTTTAAATCATTGGTATCCCTAAATATGGGATGAAAATGGTGTCCCCAACATAAGAAGGACATGGAGCTGTTGGAGCAAGTCCAGAGGAGGCCATGAGGATGAGCAGGGGCTGGAGCAGCTCCTGTATGGAGCCAGGCTGAGAACATTGGGGCTGTTGAGCCTGGAGAAGAGAAGCTGTGTGGAGACCTCAGAGCAGCTTCCAGTGTGTGAAGGGGGCTACAAGGATGCTGGGGAGGGACTCTTCATCAGGGACTGGAGTGATAGGACAAGGGGTGATGGGGTCAAACTGTAACAGGGGAAGTTTAGATTGGATCTAAGGCAGAAGCTCTTCCCTGTGAGGGTGCTGAGGCGCTGGCACAGGGTGCCCAGAGAAGCTGTGGCTGCCCCATCCCTGGCAGTGCTCAAGGCCAGGTTGGACACAGGGCTTGGAGCAGGCTGCTCTAGTGGAAGGGGTCCCTGCCCATGGCAGGGGTTGCAACTGGATGATCCTTTCCAACCCAAACCTTTCTGTGTATTCTGTGTGTGGTCCTTTGCCAGACTAAGAGATAGGGGTTGTAGGATGGAGTTTGGGAGAAGTTTTGAGTGGGTGGGGAAGAGCTTGGAGGTGTTTGTGGGTGGTTGTTGATGGCCTTTGTGTAAA